CTGTCTCAGAAACAGCAGGCAGCCTTAGAGTTAATAACACCCATAAAGTAATGAACAAGTCACAACAAGCTGACGATCTGCATCCAGAATGTTGTTTTTCACTTTGAAGTTACATGATAAGCGGAGAAAGAATAAAACATTAAGATGTAAATAATTTCCACCAACAAAATGTGCATAAAAATACATGCAAGAAACAATGTTTGGGACTGCGTGTCTTACCTTACTGTCAAAACTCAGCCCTGCTCCACACTCACTGAACATCAGCAACCTTTGAACTTTGAGAGAAGTCGTATCATGACAGCAACACAATCTGCAAGTTAAACCAATACAGCCACTACGCAAGCTACTTTCTCAGCCACGTTGCACAGACATGAATGAAGTCAGGCACAAACAAGTTCCCACACAGACAGACCTTCAGTTTACTTCCTAGTGTTTCTTGCTCTTTTCTGTGACCCTCCTCTTTATGTTCTTCAGCTCAAATTTCAAGCAGTCAGACAGTCTGTGATGCAACAGGAACTTGCGGTCTCTTTTATTTTCTACCAAACCAGCATGAGTCATTCTAAGTATTCTGTGGGCTGCAGAGCAACTTTGAGGTGGAAAAACAACAACAACAACAATATACATAAAATATTCCTATTAGATTAAAATATGTCCTAGGTAAGGCAGACCTGGCACAACACAGTCTAAAGGCATCAACGCATGTTCATCTTGTCTCATTACATTACTCTCTTTTATTCGGCTTTCACGATACAATGCTGTTCATCACAACCTTTTTTTGCTTTGCGACCCTTTAAAAATAAAGCAGTGTCTACATGTGAGCCCTTGCCTCAGGTGTCAAGTTTTGATCTCTAAACATTTCAGACTGGGTCATTTTAATAAATGTTTGAGAATTTCAGAAGCAAAATGATCCAATTTTTCACATAAAAAATAAAGATTTAAGACGGGTTTGAAAAAACGAACTTAACTTTGTATACACCAACTTAGTTTCCTCTTCTTGCCTGTCCCATTAATCATCTTGGGACCCCTCGGATGCATCTTGTGACCCTTTAGAGGGAAACTGAGCCTCAGGTTGGGTATCACTAATCTCTTAAATATTAAAATGTTGATTACCTCACATCTTTTATATCTTTCCCCTCCATATAACCTTTCGGGCCTCTTCCATTTCTCTCACTCTCTCTGTCTCTCCAGAGAAGTCCTAAGCTCCATTTAAACATGTAATCGGATCAGTCACTTGATCATAAGCTGCTTCCTCTCACTCGTTCACTCTGCCTCTCTGTCTATCATCCTCGTGTTCTCTCTGCCAGTTCAATTAAATCCAGTGGATTTCATTTCTCTTCCCTTCAGTTCATTTCAACCTAACAAGCTTTAAAACTATATTGCCAAAGTGAATTGAATTGTGAATGAATGGAAAGAGCACTATTCATGTTGACAGACAGGCTTCTGTCTTTGTTCAGCTCTTTTGAATTTTAACCTGTTGACATTTAATTAAATGTATAACAAAGCTGTACACTTGCACTGACAGTTTAATGCAAAATAGGTTTTGTGTCAGTGTTTTTTTTTTGTGGACCATTCAGCAGTTCCCGCTGATCTTCTGATTTAAAGGTATAAATAATGTGTGGTTTAAAGTTTTAAGTTGTGCATACACATGGTGTGTTTATATACATGTATTTGTCACAATAGTCACAATGCTAACACAAGTATGCACACACATTTTGTCCTTATGTTTGCTGAAGATGTCAGAAAAGCTCTCAAGCCCGACAATAAATGCACAGTTTTCCCCAGTGGAGGAATTATCGCGCTGACAGTGGAGAAACAGACTTGCCAATATATTTGTAGTGTAATGCAACACTTCCTTTACATATTGCTCTGCCCTCATTTATTCTCCAGATAATTCATCTTCGATTGCCTCTGAGGAATAAGAGGGAGAAATAAACTGGCACATATAGAAAAACACAGAGCTCCACTTGTTTTTGGTGCAAAAATGTAGTAGTTTTTGAGACAAAAATTTACTTTGTGAGGCCTTAACTGACTTCATATATATTTATGCACCATGTTTCTTGTGCCTCTATCTGAACTATCATGTGTTTTGTTAGTTGAGTCCTGATTTCCTGGTATTATAACTGACTGTGCACTACAAACTGTATAATTGAAATCAATTTATCTCATGGATCACAATATATTTATCGCTCATATCCTAAAAATTCAACCAACCAAGGTTTTGTTGCTTGTTTTGTTAAAACATGTCTTGTCATGTTCTTTTTGTTGCTAACAGTTCAAGAGGCCTACCTCAACATTTGAGCAATGATTATCAAACTCTTTAACGTGTGACCTGACTCCTCCCAAAAAAGCAGCATCCACTGGTCCACCAGAGACATACTACTTAGATATTGATGAATCTGAATTGAAAAACCTAATAATGTTCTGTGGAACATGTACTTTTTCTTTACACTTTTAACATTTTGTGGCCTGCATTTTGCTGATAATACTTTTGTACTTTTACCTGGAGTGTCTATGAAGATTCTCAGTCATCCAGGTCATAGTTATCCAACGAAGGTTAAAATGAAGGGCAACTGGACTTGGTTGAAGCTACTGGAAGACGTTTCGTCCCTTATCCAAAGGACTTCTTCAGAACTGAAGAAGCAACCAAGTCCAGTTGCCCTTCATTTTAACCTTCGTTGGATTTTACCTGGAGTGCTTTTTTGTCTTTCTGGTTTAGACACAACTACTAATATGTAATGCGGATGGGCCACAAAACATGGGCAGAATCTAAATAGTCATATCTGGTGTGTAATTTCAGGAACAGCCTTGAAAAATGTGGCTTCGCCTCTGATGTGTCACACGTACGTAACAGAGCGTGACAACCGCCTCGTGTGTGGAGGTGTATGTGCTCAGCTGAACGCCATCCAGTTTCAAACAAATTTCTATCTATGTTTTTACACCACTGGTGATGTTAAGTACACTGTTACTCATTTACCTTTCTCCACGGGACTCTGTTGACTGGACTGCACTACTGTATAAGCTTCTCTTGTCAGTCAGTTTCACTGTTTTTCTTTACACAGATCAAATGTTATCCTATTACACACAGATCAGACAAGAGACACACTCATCTCCCCCGCTGTTGCCTCCCTTGTGATTAAATGATGCCTGAATTATGCATGTGAAGAAGGAAAAATCATTTTGATGCAGCTAATGATATTATGAGCTGTTACTTCATAGCTTGTGACCTTTTTAGTATGGGAGACAGGGTGTGTGTAGAAGTGGTTACAACGGTGGCATTTGAGGCATGGAGTGGTCTCTGGGTAATGAGGTCTTGCTGAGAGGAAACATACTTTCTGACCTTCTTGTGGTCTTTTCCCAGTGTGTTGTATGTGTTTGTGTGCTCTAAAGAGACTGACCGATGAACTCATAAAGAATCTACCAGTCTACTTCCATGTGCTCTGAAAATATTTTATTGTGAATGATGCCAAACTATAAAGGCCAGACTTGACAATATGAACGTGAAACAACACATTGTACATCCTAAAAACAATCACAGCAGGTACACTTTGCTAAGTGGCAGTAGTACCCAGCAGGAGGAAGATATACTAATTGGTTATTTTCTCTATGAGGCAGATGCCTTCACTGACCTCATGAATTACCTCACCATTAGCTTCTCTGTTGTGTGGTTGATTTTTGACAGAAGTATTTTAATTGCAATCAGATGAAGCCTATTTCATGTTCAACAAGTGTTGCTGACCACAGAGCAGAGGACACATGTAGTATAAAGCTTCTTTACTTTGTTTAATTCTATGAACAAACTGACAAGAAACTGTGTGTTTAATGCCACGTTTACGTTATGGTGGATGGATGGCAGAGATGGGAAAGATTCATATGTTAATGATTTATGAGAAGGTTAAATGATCACAGAGTTGGTCATATGAGGATGAAAATACTGTGCATTGATTATATACAACCTCACATCCTTTAAATTTGGATTTAATGACATTGGCTGAACATGAAGAGATGTCTTTGAATAAATGTTCTTTGCCTGAAAGTTACACTGAGAAATATTCAGAGAAAGTCATAGCATCAGAGACCATGGCCTTTGCACTCTGTTTTGAGCTTATGGTTACATAAAATCCAGCAGCTGTAAGCTTCGTTTTTGATGGCGCCGCTATTAAGGATTAACTGTATCACAGTCAGACACATCCAAGGCTTCCGGCAGCTTTAATGCAGGGCATGATAGTTCCCTCCCTTTGGAATGAAACAGCTCTGACATTTACCAAAGATTTACAGTCAGAGTCAATATTTAATACTACTCGTCTCATGTGCTGAACTTGCATGAACAAGAATGCACTTATTGTAACTTGTTTCAGAACTAAATTGTCTGCCAAATTGTAATGTAAAGTAATCTCAAATTTACAGTAATCCCATTCACTCAAGTCATATATATATATAGTATCATTTTATTAAGTAATTTAAGAGTTTATAAAAGATGATGCTTTGTTATGAATTAAACTGCCCAACAGCAAATACAAGCACAGCTGAAAAGATTAGTTGATTGAGAGAAATGATTTGCAAACTATTTGGCCAATCATTAAATTGTTTCTCATGCAAAAATGGCAAACATTTCATAGTTCCAGCTTCACACATGTGAGGATTTGCTGCTTTCCCTTTTAATAATCTTAATTTATTCTTAATGGTTTTGAGGTGTGGACTGTTGGTTGGCCAAAACACAGCACTGTGGAGGTGTCACTTTGGACTCTGGGTGATTGTGATGGCATTTCCTACTACTTTCTCACATAATCAATTAATGGAGAAAATAATCAGCAGATTAATCCATACATAATCGTTCTATAATTGCTTCACCTCAGCCAACAGCAACAGTAACATCCTACTTTTACATTACGAGTAATTATAATATACATTCTTAATGCAATTTACAATTTTACAGTGTGGTATTTTACTTAAAATAACCTTCATGCCTTGCTGATACCAGCTTGACAGCCTTAGAAAGATTTCTCTGTGTATACCAGGCTGAAAAAATATTTCTTTATTTTTATGTTTTTATTCTCCACTGCTTGTCTGTGAGTGATGGCAGGGAGTGTCCGCATCAGCACCGCTCTCTCTGTCACATGTTAACACTCTTGCGCCTATGCTGCGCATCAGTGGTGCCCAAGTGATTTATGTCGCCCGCCAGCAGTGGTCTGGAGCAGATCCGACTGAAGACGCTTGAGGAATGGCTTCTGAACGGGACGGATCCAACACAACAAGAAATCTGACCAACCAGTTTGTGCAGCCGGCGTGGCGCATCGCGCTGTGGTCGGTGGCTTACAGCACTGTGCTGGCAGTTGCGGTTTTCGGAAACTTGATTGTGATTTGGATTATTCTGGCGCACAAGCGGATGAGGACTGTCACCAACTATTTCCTGCTGAACTTGGCTTTCTCCGATGTTTCGATGGCTGCGTTCAACACGCTCATCAACTTTATCTACGCGGCTCATGGAGAGTGGTACTTTGGAGAAGTGTACTGCAGGTTTCACAACTTCTTCCCTGTCACAGCTGTGTTCGCCAGCATCTACTCTATGACCGCGATAGCAATCGACAGGTAGTGACTGAATGGTTGAAGATATTATCATGCCAAAGGCAGTCTTATTAGTGAGATTACCCCCCGCTAATACATTAAAGATTTCTGTATTCTTGTTTTCTATTTCTATATAGGCTAGTGTCTGTCGTGCCTCGAGATTATTTTATAACTTGAGATATATTACAATTTTACAATAATCATAATTAATAAACTCTAAAATGTTTTCAGTTTACTTTTATTTAAGAATAACTTACAATGAATTTCAACTGAAGGTTGTTTCAGTGCTCTGAATGAAAATTAAAAGATTTGTGACCTCTTTTAAATTGAAGATGAATTCCACAGTAGCCTACATGTGATGACCACATTATTCCATATAAAAAGAAAGTTTCTATACATTTTATACATGTATACATATACGTTTTTAATTTGATGTTCTAGTATTCAGTTGGAAAACTGGAAAACCTGAAATGCATCATTAGCAAATCACTGGTTTGACTTTGTTAGCCAAAATTTTAACTAAAGTGACATTTAGTTTACTGCAGAGCATACATGTCTGAGCACTTTTTACTCAAAATACCAAAATACATGTATACCTTAGTGGGAAATCAGTGATGACTAGTAGAAATATCATCACTGATGACTTAAGTCTTCTCAGTGCTTTGATTTCAAACAGTGGTGTGACATTTTGGCGAACCTTTGGCCCATTTTATTAAACAGCCTTGAACTTGTCTTTAGACAGATAATCATCTGAGCAACACAGCAGGTGAGTCACAGTGACCTCTTTTGCAAGATGACAGCTGTAATAATGACCATGCCTATAAAACCCCAGGTCTATGTATCAGGGCAACATATGGAAACTGTCATGATTTGTGATGTCTGCATTTACTAGCATATTTTTCTAGGCTTATGTAGTGACCTCTGACCTGCAGGTACATGGCCATCATCTATCCTCTGAAGCATCGTCTGTCGGCGAAGGCCACTATGGGAGTCATCGTCTGTATCTGGAGCCTGGCTGTGGTTCTGGCCTTCCCTCTCTGCTACTTTTCCACCACCCGAGCTCTGCCCCGCAGGACCCTCTGCTACGTGGCCTGGCCCCGAATGGCCGACGACCCCTTCATGTGAGAACACTGACAGACAAACCCCTTTTCTCTAGCTTATGTCAAGTTTCATTCTCATTAGCATGGCAAAGCTAAGCTGTAATCTAGATTCTCGTATGTTTATTAACCCCCAGACATTTCATCATTCACCCACTCTTCATTGTACTGATATAAATATACTGGTGATGTGTTTCTCCACCTTTGCAGGTATCATATCATAGTGACAGTTCTAGTCTATGTGCTGCCCTTAGCGGTGATGGGCATCACTTACACCATTGTGGGGGTGACTCTGTGGGGAGGGGAGATCCCAGGAGACTCATCTGATACCTATCATGGACAGCTCAGGGCTAAAAGGAAGGTAAACACCATATTAATTTAATGCAACCAAGATTTTCAACTATGTACATAATAGTTTTATGTTTATCATTACCTATCTTTTTTAGCTTTGTTGTCCTTGTACAAAGAAAGAAATGGCTAAAAGAATATTAACAAAATCTTAACCCTAAACTTAAATAATAAATATTCTCTTTTTGTCGTGTTATAATCTCCCGGGGTGCAGAGACACCAATCCACTATAGCAATAATGATCCACATGTTTAGAAAGACCTCTGCTGGTTGGGGAGGAAGCAAAACACATTAAACAGGCGACTAAACATAGCTTGCTGTTCAATTGCAACGGCAGCCTAGAAGAAGAGAAATGCGTCCAGAGGCACTTTTTCCACTGTAAGACGTCATCAGCCGGACTGCACAGTGTGCTTTGCAGCAGCTACTGTGAGGGTTGGCTTGAACAGGGATTAAGGTCATTGCAGCTGTCATGACGAGCAACTATCACGACAGCCCAGGGATTAATGCTAAATAATACAATTGATAAAAAATCACAAATACTGCAGGTCTGTAAGAGACAGTGCTAGACAGGGTTAGGTATCTGACGTAATCAGTGAAAAATTGAACACTTTCAGATGAAACACTCATCACGTTTCATCTGAACTCACATTTAGCCTGTTATTTGAGTGTAATGAAGTAAGAAAATATGTAAACTACATAACAAAACAGTGACTTGGAAATAGATTTCCTCCCTAGACTTACATTGGGAATATTATTTTGCTACAACAAACACATACAAATATTCAATCCACATGAGACAGGTGCAGGTTTGCCATTTGGGCTTTATAGAAAAAGATAATTCATCAGAGGCTCAGATTGCTGGCAAAATTGACCTGTGAGAGATCAAAGAGATTTATAAATGTCAGGAAACAAAGCTACAAGACAATGTCAGGCTTGTTTCAAAGGTCAACGTATAAGATGCTATCTGGGCTGGATAAGAGGAAGTCACAATCATCTCCGTCTAGCAGACGAGCTTCTGTTGATGGTATAATAGCCACCTGCTCCTTTTAACCCCCCGTAGCTCTATATTGTGCGGCGACACACTGATTAGGTCTGTGACGCTCTCATCCGTCCTACCTGGAACCTGCTGGGTCTGGTGCGTCACCACTGACCTTTCCCTCTCTTCGTATGGCAGCCATTCATTGTGATCAGAATGAAGGAAAAGGGACAAACAACATAGCTGCTACTTCAGGGACAATGTGCATATAAAGAGCTGCCAGTACAAAAACATTTTGTTAGCAGCTGAGATAATGCTCTCCAGGATTTTGCACATTTGCTGACATATATACAAGTAGTGCAAAATGTAAACATCTGTGCAGTGTTCTATGAATGTAATTGCAATTATAGTGCTGAATGCGGATAGTCACACAGTTCAGCAGGGTTGGCAGTATTCTGCTGGCAGTGTTAAGCTCTCAAACAGACTTAAGCTCTCTTAAGTTTGTTTGTTTGTGATTTGATTGACCTGAGGCGTCTGCCAGAGAGCAGCAGGTCAAACAGATGATGTCCAGGGTGGGATGGGTCTTTTATGGCTGAGAGCTGAATTAGTCTTCCAAAGAGGGCAGAAAGGAGGGCTCTCCTTACCAGATGTTTGCTGTGATGCTGTTTTGGGTTTTCCAACTGAAAACAGGGCAAAGAAGAAGAGCTGTTTTTATCTTGTTCAGGCATTCATGTGTGAACAGAGGTCTCTACTAAAATGACTTGGGAACGCTAAACATCATTTGTTAAATTTAGTCAAAGTTTCACCGCTCTCATCAACCTTTGTCATGTCTTCAGCTGCAGCAGGGTCTAATAAACTCATGCTACCAACCACCAGACACACTTCTGTTGAACATAGTGAAGCATTTAGTGGCTCAAGAGCATGATGGGTTTTTTTCTCAGAAGTTCTGTAAGAAGTTGGTAAAGAGTTAAAATGAGATAGAATATTGTACATTCATCAGGTCACAAACTTTACTCCAAATGAATGCTAATGTTTCTTGGTGTCTGCTATATGTGAAAATAAGCATCTGGCATTTCAAATTATAAAGTTTCGTATGTGTTAGAAAGCAGTCTAACATGTTTGCCGTTAAAACTTTATAATATGATATGTCTGATGTGTTTACAGTTTGTTCCGCTGCTCCCAAGTGGCAAAAACAAACAACAAACAAAACCCTAAATTCAATCTATGTAACTTAAATGGAGGAGGTGCTATGGTAAGGCTTCTGTTATCTCATGGAAGTGACTTGCTCTCATGCAAAACTAGCAATCCAGGTTAGCAAGCTATGTCTTTTATTATTTATTTATTTATTATTTTTATTATTTATTTTTACAACATACACAATTAAGGCTCTCATAAAATTACAATGAGAAGTTTCCAGTATGCCTGACATTTCAGCGCTTATAATCAGTGAAATGAGCTCCATTTTGTGGGCATTGAGTTGGCTCAGATGTTCTTTAAATCAAATGGGAGAGTTTACATTGGTACTTAAAACCCTCTGACATGAATGATGATTTCTTCTTGTCTTGTTTTATGGGATACTTACAGTTATATTCCGTATGCTATTTTTTCATGTCGTGAGCTTCGACTGCGTTCTTTATTGTGATTATTTTGATCATTGTTGCACTTCATTATGCTCTAAAACACGCCTGTGCTTGACTGCAACACTACTGCAGCTTGTATGCTGAGGAAAGCTGTCTAGTTGGGGTGATGTCCTGCCAATAATGCTGATATTTCTCTCATTTCTCTTGCAGGTGGTGAAGATGATGATCATCGTAGTGGCGACCTTTGCCCTCTGCTGGCTGCCTTATCATGTCTACTTCATTGTGACGGGTCTCAACAAGCGGCTGATCAAGTGGAAGTCTATCCAGCAGGTTTACCTTTCCGTGCTGTGGCTAGCAATGAGCTCCACAATGTACAACCCCATCATCTACTGCTGCCTCAACAGCAGGTGAGTACAAATAAGTCCCCCCAACAAAACACACGTATGCATAAATATATATACACACAGCAGCACAATTACATGTCAGGGGTTGATATGGCCGCAGGTTCCGGGCCGGCTTCAAGCGGGTTTTCCGCTGGTGTCCCTTTGTCCGGGTCTCAAGCTACGATGAGCTGGAACTCCAAAACACAAGACTTCGACCGGGTCACCAGAGCAGCATGTGCACCCTCTCTCGGGTCGGCACCAGCATCCTCAGCAAAGACAAGAGCACTTGCTCTCGAGGACACAGGTCAAGACTCAGCTCTGAGCCCACTAATAAAGACAGTTAGTTGTCTCCAGCTGAATGCTCACTAGGTTTGTTTGATACATTCTTTTGAGCTGACAAATGCTGATGGGGTTGTTTTTTGTTTACTCATTGAACTTTTAAATATTATTATTATCAACTCTGATCGGTGTGGTGAACATTTATAAATCTGGGCACAGTGTTGAGTTTGGCACTGCACAAGAGGTTTTTAAACTTATAGAGGGGAGCGGGTGAGTTGCACGGGAGGCAGAGATACTGCATATATTTTTTTCTGAAGTGAGGGGCCCACAGTGTCAGATTTTGAAAACCCCTGTCTCTGTAGCAGAGTGAGTAATATCAGCCATGGTGGGGTATTTTTTTTCAAATGACTATCAAAATTGATAAAATGGAATCTTAATCAGTTTTGACAAATAACTGAAAACATGCGTATCATCCAGATATTAGATATAACAAAATATCTCATTCTTTTGACATCATTGCCTTTCATTGATTTGAAGTTTATTTTGGAGGGTAATTTGTTTAAATTATAAATTACTGCTGTTCATTAGATACTTTTCAAAATTTTCTAAAATGTATCTAGGTCAGCTTGTTTGTGTAATTAGACTAAATAATGTCAGGCAAGTTCCAATTTTGTAAAATCCCAAAAAAGGGTATTTCATCCAGTCAGTAAGAGATAATTGATCAATGTGTAAGTGGATTTTTAACGTTGGTATTACGGGAAAGTAATCAGCATTTAATTAGTACAATGGTCCCTAAATAGCCTACATTATGTTTGCTTCCATGTTTATGTTCTGTACTTTATTTTGTCTGATTAATTTTACTAAGCTTCTGCTGTAAAATATGGTTGATAGTTTGAGTCAAGGTATTTTAAAACTCTGCATGATTATTATATCCAGATATTTTAAATATGTTTCTAATATATTTTTATTTTGGTGTCAAACTTCAAATTCATCACTGGTTCATATTGACTTAATAACAAATACACAAACCATTCATTTGTGTATTTGACACAACACCATTCACTTAAATCTAGTGAGACTGATACTAAAGGATCCTGGTTGGATGTTACCTGCATTTCATGAAAGAATGTACATTCACAAGTGCTTGCTGCTGTAATTTTTGTCAGTTGAAGAAAGCATGTGCCATTTTAAAATATTGAGACTTTTTGGGACTTTTGTATATAGTAAGTGTATGTACATTGTGTGTGTTATAATAATTTTGTGCACACTCAAACACACAGGCACAAATTATGTATATATTTTATGGTGATGATGTGTTTTATTGTTGTATTATGATGAAAAAAAGCATTTAACATTGCATCTGTGTCTTTGTTATATTTTATTTCAATTATGTGTAATAATAGTGTTGAATTGTTCTGCATGGACCAACGATGGTGCACAGTGGTATACACTGCTTGTATCAGTATCAGTCTGATGAGAAGTAAATTGTATCTCTCTAAATTACTAAAAAGCTGTCTTTTTGTTTTTACATTTTACATGTTATTTATTTCTCCCACCATCCAAAGATATGCAGTCTAGGTTGATTGGTTACCCTAAATTTTCCTTAGGTGTGAGTGTTTGTTCGTCTATGTGTTGGTGTGGCCCTGTGATGGACTGGCGCCCGAATCAAATCAAGATATTGTGGTTTAAGTCATACACTGGAAGTACAGCAATTTACCAACAAATTTGCCTACCTAAAAAAAAAAATGTGAACCAATCTTAAACAATTGGTTCAAAGTAGGAGGTGGGATCCAGCCTGCATTTGATGACTTACAGTAACTGTTTGCAAACTAGTCATTGTAGTTGTCACATGAAAAGATGCTTATAGGTCAGTCTTGGAACATACATACAGTACATAAAAAGTATGAAGCAAAACAAGGTACAGTTCAACCACTTTATTTAAAAAAGAAAATCTATTTAGAAAGCCCATCTAAAAGCAGAAAATGGCTTATTTTGGTGCTCCCTGGTGGCCTTGGGGTTAAGCATAGACAATGCCGACCATGAACCTACTTCCTCTACACAGCTCCTGTCTGTTTCCCTTCTCTCTACAGTCATTTGCTGTCTTCTCTCTGCTTTACACTCTCTAATAAAGGCATAAAATGTCACACAAAAAAATTAAACAAAAGAAATAGCCTTATCTCAGAAATATTGATATTAATATATTTTTGCTGGTATGTGTAAAGAAAAGGAGATTTAATTGTATAACTCACAAAATGGTAGACTGTGACATGACTGTATTTTTGCACTGGCTGCAAAAGTTGGCAGGCATCACAGCAAAACCGATTGTTCATAGCTAAACAGTATAAGCACAGCATTTTTTTGTGTCGTAATAACTCCCGGGTTAGACTGAGATGTTAAATGCTTTTGCTCAACAGTTAAAGGTTCAGTGTGTAATATTTCTGAGGCTCTATTGACAGAAATACGATATAAGATCCATAAATATGTTTTCAGTGGTGTATAAAGACCGCGGTTCTGAAGTTGTCTGTTTTCTGCTGGACAGGTAATTAACATTGTTTGTCAGACTTTAGATGCAAATGAAATCTGTTGTTTGATAGCTTAGGTAGAAGCTGGCCATAATCACAGAGAGCCCTGACATGTTTCTCCTGTCAGTGGTGTGAAATATGGATTAATTTCACGGCGCTTAACGTTACTTATTTTCCAGCCTGTGGTTTGGCTTTACCGGATACGTCAGCGAGACAATCAGCTGATCAGTAACGTTAATTGGCAATAAAACCGTAAGTTAGCTTAGAGCATGGAAGCATCAGCCAGCTAAACTTTTACTGACTGGTAGAAAAGCATTTATTGTGAATTAAATTAATCCAACTAACATAACACCACAAGCCAAAGCTCAGCGCTGAAGAATAAACCAATCCAACTAACTGCTAATGGTGATATATAACAAGACCGTGTGCCTATCAAGTGACCAATAATAAATACTTTCCGAATTTGCATTAAAAAAACTTATTGGATATTGCTTCACCACTGTGCTCACAAATATGTAATTTTTAATTTCACATGCTAAATGCCCATTACCACATTGCACCATTTTACCACAAGCTGAAATTATGGCTGTCAGTACTACTTTGTGTTTCTTTTGTATTTCAAAAAATTTAAAAAGACATTTTGTTAATATTTGCAGATTGTTCTATTTAAGCAAAGCGAGAGGAGCTGATCCTCACCAGCCAATGCCTTTGTAAACTTCATGTATTATGTGGCTTATAATGGACTGTGCAGAAACAGTGAGGCTTACATTGTCCTGGTATCTGTCATACTTGATGCACTAGATGTGATCGTGTTTGAGAATTTCAGTTACTTTAGTATGTTAGTCCAGATGAGCCAACCCTCCCAAGATGTAAGATAATGTATTATAGGAGTGTGATACATCATGTACCACTTTTCATGTGGCTGTTGTTTATTAATGAAAAAGTAACAATAATATTGAAAAAATTCTTAATTCTTAATTTCTTAATATATCCAAAAGAAACGTACGTGATTTATTGTGTGGCAATCTCTTTTATCTCATAGATGACATCTTTGTCCTGCATAGCTATACTGCTCGCTTTGAGGGGGTACAATTAGCAACCCTCACCACTAGATGTCACTAGAACTCACACACTGAACCTTTAAGGGAAAAAAAGAGATAAAGCCACAAGCACCAACACAAGCCACTGGGTGGAGACATCAGCTGGGGACCTAAAGAGATGGAAACAAAAAGAGGGAGATGAATACACAGTATTGTATATCAAAATATATTTTAGGCCCTGAAAATCAATTTTCTCAATCAGCTTCTTATTACAATGCAAGGTGGTCCTATGAAGATAACATTTCCTGCCTGTAAGCACCAATTAACAATATTTGCATCAAACTCTGATGAAAGTAGTTTGCTATAATGTTGTCTGTGCTGTCAAAATCAAATCTGATTAAACCACACACACACACACACACACACACACACAAGGGAATAAAGGCTTTTTTTCTGGTATACTTAATTGTTGCTTATTTAGTCATTCATATTAAACGTTTTAGAGAAATACTAAAGATCTGAAGTCATGTTGTCAGAGGCTCTAAACTATCATCCATCATTGTGGAACTTAAAGGGTAACTTTGGTATTTTCTAACCTGGACCTTAAATTACCATGTTTTTGTGTCTACGTTTTTGGAATTGGTCCAGAATTGAGCAAGCTAGAGACAGACCTTTTTTTAAAGAGTAGGATTGTGGTGTAGCCTTGCCAGAGTGGCTAGGCAGGTGGTAGGTAGGCAGACTCAAACATCATATGTTCACAGAGGTGATTGTTTTATTTATTTATTTATTTATTTGCTAACAAAAGGCACGTGTTCACAGCAGCACAGCCTCACCGCTTTCCCCTTGGGAGGGCAAATCCCACTGTTTATATAAGGTGGTCAATTCACACCCAACTGATGCAGGCTGATCTACTCCATAACATTAATACCTAGAAATCTTAGTTACCAGTTCACTCCGCTCCCACTGACTAGAAAACAGGTCAGGGTTATTCACACATTTATTTATAACAATCAAAAACAACCAAAAGAAACATTCCTATAAAGAAAGAAACCCTCTACTTGGTTTGGCCCAGTGATGACATCCATGACCACCCTATTCCTATAAAACAGGAAATGCTTAGGCTGGCCCCTCCCCAATTGTACTGCATGGTGGAACTGAACAAAGGAAGTATTAACCAAGGGCGTAAGCCAGAGATCGGACAGTGAAGCCAAACCAAAGCCTGCATGGAGGGATCCATGTAGGCCCAAAAATGACGTCAAAACCCTGTGACACCCCATCGCACATGTGAGATGTAACCGTATTGCTTGGATTATAAACTCTCAGCTATCAAAAAAAAAAAAACTATCAGAGCAATCAGTGTTGCTGCTTTGGTGTTTGACAGGTGAACCTTGTAGGTGGGCTGATTAAACAGTGACGATCCGAGTCAAACACACTGAGCCATGAAACTTTCTGTTGGCACATTTATACAGCTACCAGAACAACAGTGTTTCTGCAGTTGTTCTATGTCATTAAACCACGGTTATGCTGCGCGATCATGTGCAGCAGACGCTGGTGCCAACAGGAAGTGGCCCTGTAGTAGTATTTTATTGGTCTAAAGCTGGCTTCACTGCTCTCCATTCAAAACAGCGGGGTGGCTTTGTCCAGTAATATACTGTCTATGGTATTAACACAGGAAAACAATTAAACCATGTTTAAACTTGCAACCTAATAAAATGGAGCTGAAACTAACTTATGACTGTGTGTTTACTCTAACTTATCATATGCTTTGCTGTCGACCGTAACATAATGCAAACACAAACAAGCCAGGATAGCAAGTGGTGCACTTTTACACAAGCTATGGTAAATTACAAAAAAAAGAAACGCATAAACTAGAAGGTAATGGCCTGTATGGGACAAATGGTGAGCAAACCCACTTCGTCACAAGGATCCTTTTGATTTTTTCACCAGAAACAGTCGCTCTTGTCAAAGCCTCCAGACTCTATTGATAACAATAGTAATTTTACAAACACGGGAGTTGCTGGTGTACCTCAGCCCTGGTCAGTTATTTTATTTGTGTTATTGTGTGACTTTGGTGTTTTTGTTTGCTTGTGTTATTGTGTGACTTAAGTTGTTTTAAAGGGTTTAAAACAACTAAAGTCACACAAATAAACTAAGCGATCGAGGCAGAGGTAGACCAGAGAGGTAAAATTACTATTTATGACGAGCTATTTTAGTGACTTGTTTCTGGTTAAACAAAAAGGATCTAACTCTCTCGTTTAGATATAGATAACCAAACTCACTGTTGCTAATAATTATGGGACTGAGCAAAATATGTAATTATCAATAAAATGTGAGTCTTACCGTGAAAAGATGTAACAGTTGTGCGAGCTGTACAGTTTTGAGTGTTTCAAAACAATCTCAGTGTAGGATTGGTCATCGTGTGCTATTTCCTTTATTTCCTCCACAGTGAAGACTTCAGCTGGAGATATGAGAGCAGAGTCCTTTTCGCTGCAAATGTCTCCCAGGTTGACAAGGAAGCAAGAAGTGATGTTAAAGATGACAACTTCGTCCAAATCTTGCATATCCTTTAACTCATTATAGCTTGACTGAACTTCAGTGAACCTTCCAAGTCTCACATTTGAGCCCTTTTGTGCTTTGTATTGTTTTTCTGACAAAACATACATAGTCTTGCACTGATTTGGACTCAGCAGTGTCATGGAATCCATGAGCAGGAAATGAAGAGACTTGAAATGGAAGTGGTCTTCATAGAAGCTAACATTCACGCCCGATGTCTTCACTGCATGGTCCAATTTGTTTTTAAATGTTTCATCTGCGTTAACATATGCCATAAGTGCAGAAGTATGTTCTTTTTGTTTTCCATGTAACAGCTTTGAACACTGGGTATTTGCATTCCATGCTTTCTGGAATGTTTTACTGCCAATTAGCTCTTGTTTTAACAGACCTGAATGGATAAACTTTTCCAATGTCTCGTTGCGGCATCCACTGTACATGTCATCTACAGCATCTGGGGCCATGTCCAGTTCCAGCGGTGTTGCGCTCTCTGCAGTCTCCTTTAATTGAGCATGGAATTCAAAATATAGGTTCAAGAGAAGAGAATACATGTTTTGAATAGCTCTTTGTAAGAGAAATAATACTTACTTTGTAATAGAGAGCTGTGAAAATGATTGCAGCAAGATTAAGTTTTCTTCTGTCCCACATTATTCTTGTCTTCTATATGCACAAACCGCTAAAACAGAAATCAAAGAAAAGCACTGCAGGACCAAACTTGAATAAAACGTTCCATGACGCTATACACAGTCCAGAAGTAGGATGATCTGTCTCATTGCTCAAATACTTTGTTTAGACAAGCCCTTAATCCACCCTTATCAGCTCTCCTTCCTCGGAACATGAAAGATCGAAGCACATTTTTTTCTTATATTCTATCTAAAAATAAATCATGAAAATGCTGACAATCTCATACCTGAAACAAGGAAAGTGAATTTCTTGGAGCAACTCAGAAAATCAAGTCCATGGACATCAAACTGCAGGGGTGTGGTCATTCTCAGCTTGGGGAAACGGAAAACCTTATCTCACTTAGCAACTCCTTCTCGTTTCCTGCTGCAGGAAATAACTGCGAGCCTCTAAGACCTGTTGAGATACTTGTTCTGCTAAAGCTATGTACAGAAGATCTTGCTGATTTTTTTCAAGATATTTTATAACCCAGACAAGCCTAAATGTTCCAAACCAGTAATAAACTAGTGTGAATGCTGACTCAGCACTAGTATTGCAGTTTAGCTTCCAGATTTTTTCTAGCAATGTATTTCAGCTCTCAGCTTCTTTAGGTAGTCCAGTTCAGCTTAAAATTGTGCCAGTTTTACATATAACCTTCCAGGTTTTTCAGAAGTGCAATGCAATGCATTTGGGCATTAAGATTTTTTCAGGCAACTTATTTCACATTTTTTACATTCAGCAGTGCATAGCAATTCATTTTAGCTGTCAGCAAACTACTAAAATAAATTAAATTGTAAGATAAATAGAAAAACAAAAAAAACACAGGCTAGGTCAAATTGAGTGGAGACATTAAGCTAACTGTGTGTGTCTTTTTTGATTGTGAGAAACATGATAATCAATTCATATTAAAATAATACTTCATACAGGCATTTACATTCTGTATGGAAGGAATGAACAAATATGTTTCTTATCGGAAATGTAGTACAGAACCGCTTTGTGAAATGTAATGAAATTAAAAATTAAATGAATGTTGAAAATCCATTTCATCCAGTTTTCTTCGCTGTTCCCTACAGGACTTGTCACTTCCTTCATCCCTTGTTGGTCCAGTATGAGCCTGCTGAAGCTCAGATATGCAGAGCACTGAACTGTTCAGTTTGAATGGCAGGAGCTGAAGGACCAATGATTGACAACATAGCCTACCATCCTGTCATCCATGGGTAACACTTTTCACTGACCTGCATGAACCAAACACATATTCTAGTTGTTATCAAGTTAAAATGCCAGTACTATTTCGTAGAAATGTATTTCATTTATGTTGCCTATTTGTGCTGCACATGGAGATAAAACATTACAAGTATCAGGTAGCATAAGAGTTCGAGTGTGTGTGTGTGTCATATTCTATATTTAAAGCAGAAGAAAATATATATTTGTTTATTAAAGCAGAAGAAAATGTAACGCTATACACAGCTATAGTAATAACATCATAACTAAACATGGTAAGTTGATGTAACTCAAAAATTATTTGGTCGAATAGTTGTGTTAAAGATTAAGATTGTTGTTATTTGCATAGCATTTGTAAAAATTAGCTTAATGTTTGGCTTAAAACTAAATGCACCATATTTGATCATATGCCCCGTTCACCTAAGACTAGCATGAGTGGCACAAGTGTCCATTTTTAGACATATGCCTTATGAATGTATGTTTTTTTTTATTATAGTTAAATTGCATACACACGTGCTTATTGTTAGTGTGAGGCCTAGTACTGTGTGAATTGATTTTAATTACTGAATATTGGTTTGTGATAAAACATAATTATGAGCAAATATAAGTGGTACTAACAATAATTATAATTGTATTTTCTGTTTTTATTGTGTTTTTTATATTTTCTAAGTCAATACTCTTTTCCTATTAGATCTACATTACACTGTTACTGTTTTCCCTCAACAAATAAATCAGAGTTGGTTTAATATTGACTTAAAAGCATATTCCTTTTGCAGTTGTCTGCTCAGCTATTTTATGGGAAGAGGGATACTGTTGTTGTTCCCGTAAACCCTGCCATCAGCGATGATGATAGCTCAGAGGAAGAAGACAATGATGTGGCAGATCCCAACTTCCTTCCACCCACCCACAACCTGGACATCGATGGCCCTTCTGCCAAAAGGAAGTGCGTGCGGCTTGCAGTGGAGGTGCTTGTAGATGAGGACCTGGATGAAAACGAGGACCTGGACGAAAATGATGAAAATCAAGAGCCGGCAAAGAGGCCAGCCAACAAAAGGAAGCCAGAACCCCGGCGAACCCTCTGGAAGAAGGTTGACCTGGACAACCCACCCCTGCCTGAATACCAGCACATTCCCCCTGACTTCATCCAAAGTCCATTTGATTATTTCAGCAGGTACTTCAGCCACGAAGTAATCTTGCACATAACATATCAAACCAACTTAAATGCAACCCAGATGAACATCAACACCACCTTTGCCACCACTGAGGATGCAATTATGAACTTTGTGGCTATACTCATCTACATGGGGATTGCTGACCTCCGTTGATGACTACTGGGCAATGGAGACCAGGGTCTCACAAGTTGCAAACCTGATGTCATCCAAGCGCTTCAAGTTATTGAAGAGGGTTGTCCACTTCAATAACAATGATCACTTCTTCAAAGTCTGGCCATTGTTCAACTATCTGGTTACTGCCTTCAGAAAAGAGCCAGAGACCCCCAAGCAGTCTGTTGATGAGGTGATGGTTGCCTACAAAGGCAAGACTGCTGGCAACCTGAGGCAGTACATAAAATCCAAGCCAGACAAATGGGGTTTTATTATTCGCCATTATATACCTCAAGAGCAAGAACTGCCGGTACACAGGAACAGTCAGGGACAACAGGACTGGCAATGCTCCACTCAGGCCCATCAAAAAGAGATGATGAAGAAGGCTGTCCCTCGTGGTACCTGTGACTACATCACTAGTGATGATGGGATCCTGATGGTCAGGTGGAAAGACAACAAGGTTGTCACTCTGATGTCAACAGACATGGGGGTAGAGCCTTGGTCCTCAGTCTACAGGTAGTGCATTGAAACCAAGCGAAAGGGACAAGTGAGCTGTCCATATCTCATCAAGAGCTATAATGCAAACATGGGAGGGATTGACAAGAGTGACATGCTGGTCCACCTCTACCGCACTCCCTTGAGAGCCAAGAGATGGTACATGTGGCTCTTTGCATATGCCATTGATGTCAGCCTCACTAATGCCTGGATAATATATAGGCGTGACAGCAAGGCTCTTGGTGTGAATGATGGCCTGTCACTGAAGAACTTCAGGATCCAGGTGTTCAAGACAGCCAGTAGCTCAAAGTCAATGACATCTCGACCCCGCAGGAGCTCAGCACCACTGTCAGGCAGTTCCAGCACCTCTGCTGATATCCCCAAGCCTATCCGGGGACACCGCAGTCACGTGCCACACTACTCTGTGCGGTTTGATGCGTCACTGTTCCATGCCCCTGTCTATAGCAAAAGCCGCCAGACCTGCAAGCAATGCAGCAGGAAGGGTAACATCATGAGGTCAAACCTTCTCTGCAGGGTCTGCCAGCTCCATCTGTGCCTCAATGCTGAGCGCAACTGCTTTGTCAAGTACCATGAAGCAGTTGCCTAAGTGACTGAAATGGCCTGAACTTGACTGACACAAGAAGAAATGAGTTCATTATGCAATGTTCCTAAATGGTCTATGACAGTGGCCAGTATTTGTTCCTCAGGAGAAAAACATGTTCTTATAGTTTTTATACATGCACTTTTTAAAAAACAAAACAAAATGTGTTTAATGTTTAACCATGATCCTCATGGCTGCTGATATTTTATTTGTTGTTTAGAATTATTTTGTATTCATCAAGTATTTATGATTTATTTATTTTTCTTTGATCAATTATAAAGTTTGTTTCACATATTATTATTTATTTACAATTTCCTTTGCCAATGTTTTGACTGTTACTGTTGTAACAAGTGGTCTTGTTATTGGTTTCAGAAACGGTTCTGAACTGAATGTTATGTGTATGTGTATTTGTTGTGTTTTTCTTGTATGACAGTCATGCCAGTATCAGTACCTCAAGACAGAGATGTCTCTAAATAAATGTTCCATGCAGTTTGTGTGTTTTTCTTGCTTTTATGTTCATATTTTGATAGCGACTGGTCGTTGTCGTCAGTAGTGAAAGACCTTTATTTTGAAAAAAAAATGCCGGAAATCTGAACTTTAATCATCGCCTCACATTTCTGTAATCATTAATCATCTACACTGCTTGTATCTAATAAACAGTACAGGTTCTTTGTTAAACCAAAACCAGTGCTGCTGTCTGGGCTATAACCATAGACTGTATATAAATGCTATAACTCCGTTTTGAACCGGAAACAGCACTATTTCCGGTTCCAGACGCGCCTAAAAGGAAACAAGACGCTGTGGCTGAAGTTTGTGTTCATATTTCTCTTAACGTTACCAGTTTCCACACACTGACAGGTGACTAAATGGACTATTAACACAACTGTAACATAATTGGCTGGACTGTTGTACCATTAATCCTTAACTAATGGTGAGTTATGGCCATTTTCCCCCAAAGACTGAATTAGCTAACGTTAATGTTAAAGTTATATTAACGTAGCTCACTGCCTAAATGATCTCTGACACTTCACCGTGGGTTTATAGCTAACTTTAGTCTACGGTGGTGGAAAAGGTATTCATGTTATTTACTTGAAAAGGCAATATAATAGAAAGCAGCTAAGCTCATTAACGTTAAGTTACTCAAGTACTTTTTAAGGGAAGTTACTTAAACTTTAAACGTTATCTTGCTTCAGTATGTGATGCTGCAATCTCTGCCTCACTGCATTACATGGAAATAGTTTACTTTTACTTAACTTACTTTTATTTTACTTTCATATTTACTAGTTACTTGATGATGAAAAATTATATTTAAAATACCGATAATGAAAATATGTTAATGTATCATAATACATCATGATATGATATGTTATAATAATGTAACTCAGCCAGGGGCCTTTATAATGTGTCCTTTTATTTTGATACATAGTACTTATTCTTCTTATTTTTACTTCTAATTAGTAAGTTTAACTTGTGGTTTTGAAGCTACAGTACTTTACTACAATAAAGTACCTGAATACCACTTAGTTAACATAGTAAATATACTGCACTACAGGTAAAAGTCCTGCATTCAAACAGAAGTATTAGCAGAAACTGTACTGTATTATCTAAGCAATAGTTAGTATACATTTTTATACATTTGTCCTTTGTTATATTATTGTATTATTACTATTTGGGCTGCACTTATATCGTAAAAAAATATATCTAATTGTGACAATTGTGAATCTTGACATATTTACGGTATGCCATAAGATTCATGATTAGTGAGAATGCAAATTTTTGCATCACACATTCATTTTCACTGAAAAGCTATTACAGTCATGATGTTGTGACATTTGTCTGAACCAAACAAACATTTTTTTGTAGGCCGGGGCATCTCTACAGCGCTACAGTACTACGTTATAGTGCTGTTATGTCACACATTTTTACTTTCATCAAAAAAATAGCAGCTTCTGCGATTTGGATATTGCACTTGACCAAATTGGGATTTGCTAATATTTTGATCAATTGTGCTGCCCTAATTACTATTGCTAATTGTAAACAGCCTTTTAATTTTGTCATGAGTCAAGGTTAAGTGGGTGCATTTTATACACTATTGTGATGTTTACGAATGTATCTATAAGAATCTATTATATTTTATAATAATATTTTACATCATAGTTTATATACTGAAAATACACCCAGTTGCCAGTTTATTAGCTACACCTAGCTAAAACTAATGCAGTCTAGTTCTGCAATAAATATCTTCATGGTGGTTATCACACTCTGTTTTTGTTGAAAATGTTTCTGAGAGTTGTTGATTCAACTGTACGGCCAGTTTAGAGGATGTAGTTTGTGGTGTTGTAGTGTGTTATGCTGATAAAGTTTTTTTCAGGTTGAAGGATGACAAGAGGACCGAAGTTCAAACATCCACTCTGCTGACCTCTCCTTGAGCAAGTCACTGAATTTTTACTAGCTCTAGGGCGCTGCACTGTAGCTGATCTCTGACCTCAGTTGGAGGTGTACAAATGATGAACAAGTTGCCCTATGGGTGCAATAAAAGGTCACATATAAGTGGTTCATAAGGTCTTGAGGATGAGGAAGTGGGGAGACCGAGTGAAAAAGGTTGAGCAGCTTGCTCAGTCGTTCCAGCTCAATCCTCTGGCCTCACCCTACAAACCTCGACTGTGGCCGTGTCAGCCTTCCTCCATCTGGAAGCTCTTCCCTCGTCAAATTATGGCTTTCGGCTTTGCTCAGAGCTGCAAAGAGGTAACACAAGACTTGGCACTTGATTATGTCATCAGTCTGTACCTTAGATTTTACATTCTGTGTGTGTGAATGATAACGTGCTGATATTTGTGCTTTGCATTCCCTAGGCTGTACATGTTTTTGCGCTTGAGAAAGAAAAGACCCCCCTTGGTCAAAGGATGTACCTGGTTACCAGTTACAGTGAGCTGTGGCATTACTACAGGTAAGTATAAATTCTATATTGCAAAATGCGGTGAATCTTCGTTTGTGCGTTGATGGTTATTTGTTTTTCAGGACTTACACACAGTCCTTGATGCACTGCTATGAGGTGATACCAGAGGGCGCTGTTTGTAAGCTTTACTTTGACTTGGAGTTCCACAAACCCTCAAACAAAGGAGCTGATGGGAAAACTATGGTGTCTTCACTTATCCAGGTAGGGTACTTTTCACTGACGATGTATGTTCCTGCGTTCTGTTCAAACTTATTTTTATCAAACAGCTTGCTTCACATTCAGATAACAATGATTCAGAAGTTGATCAGTTTAATAATTATTAAAATGTGGCATAAAAAAATAAATACAAAGGGGAAAATACAAAGGGGAAAATCCCTCCCAACCTGTATATATTTCACTCATGTTCTTCTAATTTCAAGCTGCAATGTCCTGCTACAATTAAGGGCTGAAAAAAATTATAAAATTTAGATATTTTAATTAAGTTTTTAGTGACATTTTAATCCTTGGGACTGTAGTTTTCTTTCACTATTTAAGTGTGTAAATATGTCTTCGCTCTAATGGGGGAAAGAAAGAATTTCTGAGGGAAAGTAAGGTTCACTGTTGATTCCAACAAGACAAGGATGATTAGTTGAATAAATCAAAATGATAAACTGTGAAAAAGTGATAAAAGTGATGGCTTAAAGTTGCTTCTGGAGACTAGAATCTGTCGCATATGGGAGATTATGTGTAGTTTGTAGTTTGTAGTTACTTTCTTAAAGATGTAGGATGTACTGTATATTTACCGGTCTGTGTGTTGACAGTACGTTTGTGACAAGCTAATGGACGTTTATGGGATTCAGTGCTCCACAAACAATGTCCTCAATCTCGACTCCAGCACAGAAGAGAAGTTCAGTCGACATCTCATCTTCAATCTCCAGAATGCAGCTTTCAAAGACAACATACATGTGGGTATGTTCTGTGTTGAATAGAAGGAACAAAGACTGATTTTGTTTTCTTCAGATATAACTTCAGTTCATATATTCTGTCTGTCTTTTTTTTATTAGGTAGATTTATCCATGCAATTCTTCAACCAGTTCTGAGCACACCCAAAAATGGTAGTGTCCTGAATGTTGGGATGAATTCAGTGGCAGAGAACAGTGAAACACGGTTTGTTTATCAGACATGTGAAAAGAAATATTTAAAAATATTTATAATTTTCTCTGCTATCATCACTTTGTGTAATTTTTGTCAATGACGCACTGACAGCAGAACGCATGCTGTTTCTGAGGGGAAGCCGGCACAGGCAGGTGAGATGGCTGAGAGTTCACAGACCAAGAGGCGCAAGCAGGAAGAGAGAGACCTCAGGTTCCTCAAGGTGAAAAACAAGGATGGCCAAGACTGTCTCTTTGTCGATCTTGGTAAGAGAAACCACAAGCTTTTTTTACCATTATATCAGAGACATGCACTTAACTTATGTTAAACATTACAGAGTTGTTGTTTTCTTTAACTTGAAATAATCCCATACTTTGGACACTTTCTTCTTTGTCCCTTGCTATTCTCTATTCTCTCTCTTCCTCCACTTTGCAAACAGCTCCATTATAATCACGTCAAATTCACAGCGTAAATGTGATGTGCGACAGTAATAAATGTCCGTGCGAAACACTGTGCTGTAACGTTAACGTTATAGTCAAATGGATTAAACGAAGCATCGATGCAAAGAATTTGTTTCAAAGCATTTTATGAATCGATTTTACCGATTTAATCAATGAATTGTTTCAGCCCTATTGTTTTGTAAACCTTGCCAGTATTTACTAATGGTTATATTTTACAAAAACAGGTGTTTACACCAAGAACCGCAATTTCCGACTTTACAAGTCATCAAAAGTTGGAAAGAACGCTGCATTCACTGTGGCAGACAACAACAAGTTTATTGCCAAACCTGAAAAGGGAATTTCCGAGGAGGAAAGTGTATTCTTGGCTTCCTTAATCTGTAATGTGAGGTACATAGAACACATTTTAACGCAGTTTTTTTGGCTGCTTCAATTATTACCTTTATCAAGCCACAGCAATTAGAGCTTATTTCTGTGTGTCATTAGTTTCACAGGTCAAAGGATTCTAACGTGGGACATCCCAGAAACAAAGGAATCCAAAACCTCAACGCTACTTGGCCAGCAGGGGTCAGCCTCAAATGCAGGTAACAAATGACAACAGAGGCATCTCTCCATATTATGCATACATAAATAGTGTATTAAATAATCAGCCAGCATAGCAAAGTTTTACCTTGAAATTTTTCAACATAAATAGTTTTAATCTTTAGTTTAAACTTTTTTCCCATGCATCACTGGCAGACTCACTTAATGGCTGCCTGTCGTCCCCTCATCAAGAAGTGGACAACTTTGTATTAACTGTGGTTACAAAGGATGGCGTACATGGAAGTAAGTGTTGGGCTGATACAGGATATGCTTTTGCAAAAGATGTGTCCTTTTCAAAACATGTGCATGTCTAGTTTGGGACCTGGGGCTCCCACCAATGGTTGTTTTCATTATCGTTTAATCTTTTGATTATTTTCTCAATTAATTGATAAATAGTTTGATGAATAGTTTGGTGTATAAAATGTCTGGCAGCTGTGAAAAATGTCTGTCACAATTTCCTAAAGCCAGAGGTGATGACTTTAGATGTTCAACCAACAGTTCAAAGCCCAACAATATGTATAAAAAGCAGAAACCCCTCATATTTGATGAACTGGAACATATTTTTAGTGGACAAAATAACTTGTATCAGATATCAAAATAGTTGCAGATTGTTTTTGTTGTTTTGATTAACTAATTGATTAATTGTTTTAGTCCTAGACAACCCACATTTCTGTTGCTTTGTAGCAACATACAAGTGCTGAAGATACTGTGCATGGTGTGTTTGTGGAGCTGGTAAATAGTTCTACTAGATATCATCTCAAATTTTGGTTGTCTGTGTGAGTCACCTAATTGATACAGGTTGAACTTGTGTTTACTTAGATTTAAAAGCTGCTTTAAAGTTAATTTAGCTCAGATTATTATTGTAGCTGGCATTGTCAGAGAAGATTTGGCAAATGTTTCATGGGCACAACCCACATACTCAGCTCTGCTGTTCGTTCCACAAATGCATGTTCCTTACCAATGTGGCACCATTTAAAAAGGAAATAATCAGGATTTCCAAAGGTATAAGATTTATTGCCAAGAAGCATTGTTACAACAAAGAAATACTCACCAAACACACATTTCCTTACTTTTTGTGCGTAGTTTATATGAAAAACGCGATATATGATCAAAACTATTGTTATATTTTTGTTCTATACCACCTCAGCACCTTGTGATAGCATACAGTATGTTTCTATGAACATTTGGTGAGTTGTGAAATTTGTGTGTTCAAACCATCCACTGTCAGACAGACAGAGCGTACTATGCAAGGACTGATTGTAACAGTGTAAAACAGGAATGTCTGTTATGTATACTTCAACAGGCATCAGGCGATGGAACTACTTTGCTGCTGAACAACTGCTTGTCTACGACATCGCAAAATACCGCTGGTGTGAAAATGTGGAAAGGTTTCATAAAAGCAACAACATCATGTACGTATGTTTCATGTTTTGTAGACAGTCTTTAAGTGTGCTCCGCCTTTCTGATCTGGTCTCATCCTCCTCTGCAGGATTGTTGTGGATCTCAAAGAGGAAGTGTGGTACCAGAAGTGTCACGATCCTGAATGTAAGAACTTCCGGTCCTCAAGTATGTAATGCGGCCATACAGACCTTTTCTAATAAAAAACAACTCAAGGACACATGATCTGTCTGTGGGGTAATAAAATGTGGTAATAAAACCTGTCTGAGAAACATTTTTAATGTTACAGGTTACCCACTGCCACAGGAGATCTGTGTCAGCTACATCATGAAACTGGTTTGTTTGCTATACTTTTAACTAGCACCTTTTGTTAAAGACACGGTATTCTTCACAACATGCAGCAGCGTATCATCACGTCTTCTGTTCTCTGACAGGATGAGGAAGACCAGGCTTACTTAATGGACGACGCTGGAAACATTGAACCCAGCCAGGCACCAAACCAGGCCCGTCAGAGCACATTGTGTCCAGAGGAGGAATCTGCTGATGTGTGGGGAGACGGACAGGATGACCAAGAGTATTTAGAGAGCCTGGACGAATTTGAACAAAACAGCGGAGATATCTCTGATCAACTTCTGCTGAAATGTATGGAAGATTTTGATTCCCACTAGAGGATGAGATTTATTTTATTTTGCCTGGCTGTACAGCTTTAAAGATTCTGGTAACACTTCCAAGTCCTCCCTCCGATTTAGCATTTAAAAGCATTATAAACAATGTAAAAATGGTGTATAACACCCTAGAATGTAGTTGTAAGTGTTTATTATTGTATTTGTCAACCACTGTAACTTAACTCTTCCTGTGGGCACCCATCAGTGAAGGCTGCTGTTTTAACAGATTGTGTATTATAATATAGTAAAACACACTTGAAATATAGTATAGAAATATAAAGTTGTTGACAATTACTGTACAATAATAAACACTTAAAATGGCATATTTGCTTATACTACATTAGTGTTATAAAGTATTTAATAAAATGTGTTGCCAAAATATATGGATTAATGCACTTTAACAATTAGAATGAAACAAAAAGGTTTCTAGCTACAAAAATATTTAGAAATCATTTACGCCCTTTCAGGAATCCATCAAAATATGTTTCTCCATTCCAAAAGACAAACTGTATACCACAATTTTGGATTATTTTATTTGGTACAGTTGATAAATAAAGATACTGTACATATAACTCCAGCACAAAACTGCACCTTTGCCCTTTTCACATCATAAGAGTCTTAAAAAAACAACAATATGGCTTAAACTGTCAACGAGGCCTCGACATGATTAAATGTGTCCTATGACCATAAAAAAATGTGAATTCACAACACGTTTTTTGTGAAACATCTGAAAAGACTCTTAGTTTCATGGACCATCAGGGAAAAGTTAATTTGACATGCTGACGAGGACGTGGAATTACTTTTGAAAAACCGGCTTCTTAAAATGAACAGTGATACTAGCGAGCCAAATAAATACCCTGAAGACGTGTGCATCATACAAATGACCGTATGTAGATTTATCCTGCAACCAATGGCACTGAAACATGAAAAAGGAAAAAAGGCATGTACATTATCGTAACATTTGAGATTTTCCATGCAGAAACAAAAACAACCAAATGGCACAAACGGTCTGTCAAGCAACAAGATTCCTAATAGGCCATCATCTACATTGCGCACCAAAACCGGTTTATCAGTCCTTTTAGCATACAGCATCGAGAAACATGGGAATGCAGGTAATTATAACTACAGCGCATCAGGCTTGACACTTTGCATACAAATAGACTTTTCAGCAGATACACTATTTACAGGTTTAATGGTTACATTAAATATCAACTTAAATAGAACCAAAACATTAAATAGTCTGGTATATAAATACTTTGTCACTGTTGAAAAAGCATGTTTATAGGATCTTTTGTGGTTACCAAGAATAAAAAACACGCAGAAATGTCTTCAGGGGCTGGACCTTTCTGACCATGACATAGTCAGATTTGATGGCAGTTAAGGCATAAGAAGTCTCATTTCCCCTTCGTTTTTAAACCCTTACTCGTGGATAACTTATACCGGTCACACAATGACATGTTCCTGGATATTATGAACTAATAAGCCAGTGATGGCAGGGTAAATTTAGTGCTACAATTGCTAGATGAAGTGGGGACAATACATACGTCAAACTGAAATTCATTATCCAGTTTGTTTGAAAGCAATTCCCAAGATTGTGAATATTGTTACTTGTAGATAAATTGAGGCAAATAACCATCAATAAACTATTTGGTTCTGGCTGTGTGCTCTAAATGATTGTCACGTTCCCTACAGTATTCCTCGATCCCAGATTACATCTTAATTCCAGCATAGAGTTCATCAATTTTCCCTATGAAGCGGCTCCGAAGCTCAGCCCTCTTGGCCTTCAGGGTGGGTGTCAGTAAGCCGTTCTGGACAGAAAACATCTCAGGATGTAATGCAATATCTCTCACCTGCAAAGAAAAAAAATATAGTGAATAGTTAATGCCCATCACAAGAATAGCAGCACATTCTGACATTTGATTATTGTATAATTTACATTTGTCAATTGGCATAATTGACTTTGGCATTAAATCAAAATACCTTAAAGGGTATCTTCAGTAATTTTCAACATGGATCCTAATTTGATGAAAAAATGTGTCATTTGTTCAGTATTGAGCAAAATAGGGCTGCAACATAATTCTTGCGGGCAATTGCACCCCATCAAAGTATGGCCACTAATGTGCTTGTTTTTGCCAATGACAGGCTCAGATTGTTATTGTAAGTGTCTGGCAATATGGAAAGGATCCCTACAGAGATAAACCTTTTTTAAAAGAGTGAGATCATTTTTGTTTAACCAGAAGCAGTCATTTTATCACTCTCGTCAAAGCCACCAGACTCCGTTGATAAAAACAGTTTACCTCGCAAAATACGGGAGTTGCTGTTGTACCGCTGCTTCGATCGGTCAAATTTGACGGGACACAATTGCCTGCAAGGATTCTGTTGCACCCGTTTTGCTGCAGCCTACTGCAGCACGCTCGCTCAATACTGTACCCATTTTTAAAAACTGTCCCAATTAGTCACATAGGCACAAAAAACATGTGAAAATAGGGTCCAGGTTGCAAAATACCAAACTTATCCTTTAAATAACATATTCATTTTTTAAGTAGCTGGTGATTTATTCAGTCTGTGAATTTAAACTGATAAGTTTGCTAAATATTTCAGTTTAATTTGAAGATGAGAAATAAAGAATTATTTAATTAAATGTGTTTTTGCACTTAAAGAAGTTGCTGATGCCAGACCAAAGCAGCAGAATGAAAAATGCAGAACTTGATAGATAAACAGGTCAAACATGGCAACAATCACCTGCTCAAATGACTTTAGTCCTGCCTCTTTGCCCAACCTCAGGATGTCCTCCAGAATGGCATTCTTCACATCCTAAAAACCAATCAGAAAAATATTATATATGCATAGCAAGAAAGGCCGTGTGTTTGGGCTGCTAATAGGCCTACTAATGAATCTCACCATGTTATTGCAAAGTTCAGCGTATGATCCTTCAATCCCCTTTTTCTTGATCCAAATAGGTAAAAAGTCTGGATCAGGTACCACTATCCCCACCAGGCATGCCTGAAAAATACAACACGGATAACATGCCAACCATACCAAGCTAGAAACTACTGTGAATATCTGAGATGTAGTGCTACATCGTTATCATGTTACTTACCTGTAAGCTTTCACCGTAAACAAATATCTGGGCCACTGGATCACTGAGATTATAGACGGTTTCTATTTTCTCGGGGGCGATGTATTCTCCTTGTGCCAGCTTGAAAATGTGCTTCTTTCTGTCAGTGATCTTCAGAGTGCCGTTCTGCAACAAACCAGGAGAACTTGAAATTAAGGTTACAACTGATGCTAAGCTACTAGACTTAATACCCACAACAATAATCAAAGATCAGTAGTGCCCTTCAGCCAGTTCTGCTTACAGGAAGCCATTTCCCAATGTCTCCTGTGTGCAGCCATCCATCCTGGTCGAGTGCCTCTGCTGTTTTCTCGGGATCTTTCAGGTATCCCAGGAATACATTTGGTCCTTTGACACATACCTAGAAGGAGAGGTGATAACATGTATTGTTATGCTGGTGGTGTTGTCTGGCACACAGACCTTTCCACATGCAATGTTAAAAATTGTATCCATGCTAGTGGCATGGTTTTAGGGGTGGCAATGTTGGTCTGTCGAGAAAAAAAATGTTAACATCACGTACGCCACCATGAGGTTGATGTTTGTGGTTTTTAGTTAAATGTCTTGAAAGCTGTTGAAATCTGGTTCAGACATTCATGTCCCCCTCAAGGTAACATTGCAATCACTTCAAACCAAGTTATATTTTTGTCCAATACTTTGCTAGTTAATGACCAAATACCTGCAAAAGACACTCCCATCAGTCTCAGTTGTACTTTGTGTTTAGTGATAAGTAGAAAAAGTGAGCAAGATAATATGTAAAACTAAAGTGTCGAACATGGTACACATTATACCTGCTGGACATCCGCATGTTAGCATGCAGAGAGCATTTAGCTCAAAGTACTGCTGTGCTATGTACATCTGCTAACATGACAGTAGACTCTTATTCATTAACATAATTGAAACTTAACTCTGTCATGTGTTACTTGTGTTTATCATGATTTAATTTGTATATCTACATACATACATACATACATACATACATAGTATTTCTTCTTTACAACTTGTTAAGCTGAGTAAAAATAACCTAATGAAACTGGAAAAGGGTACAGTAAATCCCTTATTATAGTGTAGTGTGGGTTGGAAAACCCACTTGACAACAGAGGACTTACTTAGACTTACTTAAACTCAGCATAAAACAGTTAGAATAAAGCAAATAAATACATTTCCACACCCACTGTGTGTATTTGATTGTTACTGAAGCAGCACTCCTCACCTCTCCTTCTCCGTTGGCAGCCAGGTAATTCATTTCTGGCACATCCACCAGTTTGATATGATTGCAAGGCAGAGGAGCCCCAACGTGTCCTGAGACGCAAAATAGTCACAGGTTATTGTCATAGTTCAAATTGTGTAAATTTTACACACAGGCCGTAATACACTAGAGTGGAGAAGAGCCACCATTAGTGGAAGTTCTAGCTTTTACCTGCTGTCCAGTCCCCGGGCATTGACAAGGAGCACCCGGCTGTACATTCTGTCTGCCCGTAGCCTTCATAAAACTGCAGAGTGCATGGCATGTTTTTAGTGACATTAATGAAAAAATAAACAAAGTTATTCTATAAAAATTAAATGAAGTATATGTGAGTCACCTGACAACCCAGTGCAGCTCTTAGGAACGTCAGGATGGTTGGAGACACTGGAGCTGCTCCTGTAATCATGAGTCTGACACGACCGCCCAGGCTCGCCTGCAAAGAGTGAATCAAACAGGAAGACTCGAAATGAAAAACTGAAACACCGGCCCATTGTTTATTATACATCATAAAGTCCACTGAAGTTTCAATTTTAGAAAAAAAAGCAATAAATAATCTTGTGCCTTAAGGAATATGTACGAACATAGGCTCTAAAACTATCACATTTATAAAAATATGTATTTATTATTCTGTCCATGAACCTGCTAACAGAGGACCAAGACTGAAAGCTGAACAAAAACACAGGATGCTTTTACAGAGTGTGGCATGTTTACCTGTACTTTCTTGAAGATGAGTTTGTCCCACATGCTGTCTGTTCGGACCACGCCATTTTTAAGCTCTGCCTCCTTCCTTCTGAAAGCCAAATCAAGCAGCCATTTCTTCAGTGGCGTGTTGGCTTGACTAAATACCTGTGGAGAATAGAGACTAGCTTGGTTTGAGAGCCTCCTGCACTGGTCCCGCCACAGAGAATTACCACTATTTGTTTTAAACATTAAAGACGGCAGCCGACCAGAGAAGTAGAACCTGTGACTTGAACAGTTAGTGAGTAAACGGAATGAGTAAAAAATAAAATACAAAATAAATTATAGTCCCAGAAGAAAGTTCCTGAAAAAATGTAACAAGAAAACAGTAAATCAGGTGGCTCTTCTCTTATCTATGACTTTTGTAGAACAGTAGATAAACTACATGAACTTATGCTTTGTCTGACCTTATCAAACATGCGGTTGAGGAGACGTGGGACCACAGGAAAGACTGTTGGCTGCAGTGTTTTCAAATCATCCATCAAAAGTCGAATGTCCCCTTGGAAATAGCCGATTCGTGCCCCATGGATGAGGATAACACCCTGATGAAAAGCCAGATATTACAAAGAGTACAGTCTAGACCTGCTCTATATGAAAAGTGCAACGAGATAGCATCTGTTTTAAATCACTATATAATTATATATATAATTTAATTGAAACTGAATTGAATTCCTACTTGTTCAAGTCAGTGTGATGATATATCCACAAGGGGACATTTCACTAGATATTGACTGTTTGTTGATTAAACAAAGCTTTATTTCCCAAATTTAGAAGCAGCGTTCTTAAAAGTCACCTTGAAAGTCAAAGGCTCCTTGGTCATTTATGGATCACAAAATTCATTGAAACAGAAGGACATTAAGCTTAATAATATATGTGTCGTGTTTTTTTGGCTATGCTAACACTGCACACAGGTTCTCGCTTTCTTTAAAGCTGAAGAGGGCTGGGTGTCTGTTGAAAGTTTTTGGTACCTGTGCCAAAATGATTCCCGAGTTTCACTATAGATAGCACAACAATAATACTTTCTTTGAGTATAATAAACATGCTTGTTTCTTTAATACCCTTTTTAAATTAAGCTTCTTAAAAGGACGAGTATTTAATTTATCTGCAGCTATAGACCTCGCAAATATAAAATACAGTCAGAAATAAATTAAGTTTATACATAAAAATGGAATTGTGAATCTGGCCAATCATTTAATGCCAATGTTTAGTAGAGTTTTAGGCACCCTCAGTGCGACACATTTCAGTACTCGAAAAGTTTTCAAAACCCAGCCCTAAAGCTGAAGAGGTTAAGTTTGAAGGAGATCTTAAAAGCCATTACACTTCAATATTGTTATTAAAAGCAAATAGAGCACTTCTATCAATATTCCCAAACCTCTCACATTTTTTTTATAATTTACAAACAAAACCTACTTATAAGACAGTTGCTTTTAAAAACAAAATGAAAACTCATTACAGAGCCATAATTTAGTCCTATGACTCTTTAAACTACATTAGTAATTTCATCATGCAATATGTCTGAAGGTAAACGAGTCCAACACATACCTGTACAACCCTCTCAAACATGTGAGCTAGGGGGAGATAGGATACATGAATGTCATGGAGGTCCAGCATGCAGTGTACCTGCAGGGGACACACAAAACACATGCATGTATGCAGGTCAAACATGGCATACTGTACCTCCACCACCCTCTCAAACATGTGGGCCAAAGGGAGGAAGGAGATAAGCACATCTTTTTTGTTAGGCTTCAGTGTGCCCTGGACGACAAAACACACAGGGTAGGAAGAGGAGGAGGAGGAGTGAACGGACACAGGAAGAAGACAGAGGAACGGAGACAAGAAGGACAGGAAAACATAAAGGGGTCAAAGAGGGTCAACCTAAGTCTGACAGGGATTTTAGATGTTAAGCAAGGTCCATCGAACCGCTTAGTATTTACATTTTATTTGATCCAAATCGCATGACTGCAAGGGTGTGGGTTTCAGAGGTTGGGCACAATTCATTCAGAGGTGAAAAGAGAAGGGGGAGGATGCTATTTTCTGCATTGTTATACATTTATCTAACAAATAACAAATAGTTGTTTCTTGTGCTTTCCATAATAAGGGGAGTAAAACGAAGAACTCTGTGTCTGTGTAAATGCTCTATTATTAATGCACGAATCCTACTCATAATCACTTTTAGTTACTGTAGTTGTAGCAATTTATCTTTATTTTGTTCACTTCCTTTAGTTCCTGTTCTAATCACTGATTGGCTCCCACTTCCACCTTTCATTCCTCCTAATTGAGTTGATTGAGTTCATCTGTTCACACTATTTAAGGACTGCACTCTCTTTCACTTCCACATGGGGCGGCAGTTCTAGTAAGAAGTTTAATTTACTCTTTAGTTTGATCCTATGTTTATGAAAACTTAATTTAGATGTCTGTCTCCTTATTTCTTTGAAATGGACATGTGAGTTTAGTTTCTAATCTTATCTTTGCTTTCTTTCAGATCGAACAACTCATGTGTGTTTCTTTTCCCTCATTATGTTGACAAATGCCTCATCTGAATTGGAAGAAATAAAACGTTTTTCAGAGGATATTCATAGTTTCCTGGCTTCCTTCTGCGCATTCTGACCGATGCGCCCAATGACAATAGTGAATGTACCCTTTTGAACCCCTCCTACTTTACAGTTGCACTGTTAGAGAACTTTATGGTAGACAATATTATTTGCTTCTTTACCACAAAAAGTAGTTCTTTACTGCCTTCTCTTTGATATTCAGTTCTAGTGTGTTTTTAGGAGAATATTAACAGTAAACAAAAACATAAATCATTTTTAATCAGATTTTTTTTGTTAAATAAAAACATAAAAAAGGAGTTTCCCCCCAGCTCTAAGTAGGGTAAGCAGCAGATGTTTTGCATACACAACTAAATGCCTCCACCAAGAAGATAGGTGTGCTTATATGTCCATGGCTAAAAGAAAGTCAGTGAATCACTTGCTGATGCTTGTAAAGCTTATTGCTGTGTGCACATGGTAATAATTAAAAGGTGAATCAGATGAGTGTATCAACATTATCATCCTGTGTAGAGTTTAGCAGCTGGACAGTCAGAGGACACTGTTTAGGGAGTTTTTAATAAGATAATCAAATAAAAAGCCTTCACTTTAAAAACAAGGGGACCCAAATCAAACATACACTATTAGACAGTGTAATTTATCTTAAGATTCAACACTTAAATTTGACATATTCCAAGTTGTTTGTATGTTTACCTCTGTCACTCTAATGAAAGCTGCAGTGTTGGAGATTACATTTCCGTGAGTAAGCACTGCACCTTTTGGGTTTCCTGAAAGGAAAATGATAATCATGATTATACATGAGATGAGCAACAAAAACCCACAAAACATCTCCAAAAGGTTAAAGTTGTAACAAGCTGTGTAATTACCTGTGGTTCCAGATGTAAAGCAGATTATTGCGAGGTCATCTGGTTGAGGGGGCTGTAATCAGATCAGATCTACACTAATGCATATGAAGGCTACTGCATTAGAAATGTGCGATGCTGTATTTTAGCGCCGAGTCCTGCTGATTACATGTGAATTATCTAAGTTGAAAAGGTGATCCTTGTAGCAATCTAGCAAGAATTAAGAGGTTTTTTTTGTCATTCAACAGGTCAAATGAGGAGTGCTGTTCCTACTCACCACTGGTTTCTGGTGGTTGGCTTCACCCAAGGCCTAGAAAAAAACAAACATTGAGAGAGCGTGTCTGCAGGAAGTGATAATAATCATGCTTGAAAACAGACAAACGCCTTGGGGCCTAATTTCAATTTAGTTCCTACCAGAACATGACTGGATAACAAACTCAAATAGCAACAACAGGAGGGACAGCTACTTTTTTATGAACACCTGATACTCAGTAGATACACATTGTAATATTTTACAGAAAAGATTAAATGTCGTGGGATTGACAAACCTTTTTAAACATAAATCAATGAAAATATCAGGAGATTAGGGTGTTATTCTCACCTCAAACTCCTTCAAACTCAGAATCTCAATGCCACACTCCTTGCCACGGGTCACCAGGTCACTGTCAAATGCCTCTATGAGCACAATCCTCTTCACCGTTCGCCCTTTTCCACTGGCACAGTCCAGAATCATCTTAGCCTTTTCGGGTATGTCGCAGATCACTGTTGAGATGGCAGCTGAAAAAACAGACAGCACCAAGTCAGTATCCTTGATCTGGAGTTGTAATAGCGCTGCAGCTGGTGTGCTTGTTAGTGCTTGAAAGTGCCCTTTTGTGTACCTTTGTCGATAATGTATCCGATGGCCTCTGTGCCAAGTGTGTCATACAAAGGGACTGCCACCATGGAGTATGTGTAACAGGCCAGCTCTGATATGGTCCACTGAGAAAACACAGAAAACAGGTCAACATTACATGTGAAAAGAATCTAATTATATACTTCCCCAACACCTACCAAAACCAAAGGCCTCTAGGAGCTTTAGTCATAAAACAACGAAAACAGTCAGTATTTTTACCCTGTACAGCTGATCATTACGATTTGTGTTAAGATCTAATAGAAATGCTGATAATATGGCTGTAGTAGGAATCAATGCCATGGTTGGTAAAATATTTTTAGAGTGCTAGGGATGCCTCAAATAGTTTGGCAAAAAAACACACTCAATGTCCAGTTACTGACTTTTCCTTGAGAGAAAGATCTTTAATTGTTTGGATGAATCTCACATAGCTGGAAAAACAACTCTGTCCTTTCACTGTCGAAATTCTGCCACCAGCTAATGGCTTTAGTTGAACATCCTGTTGTTAGAAGCGACCATTTCTGGCACATTTCCCTAGCAGTTTAATCCACACACCATTTTACCAAATATGTGACCAAGTACATATTGACAAGGCACATTTTATCTGCTCCCCAAATGTCCTTGTTGGGAGCGTTATCTGTAGGTACTCTTTTGATTGAAGCTGTTTAGTTATTCTTAATTTGTGATTTGAGTAGTTTTGCTGTGATCAGTTATCTGCTAATCAAGCTAGCCATTACAGTGTCTGAGGCTAATGTGCTACTAACATAATATTCTGAGCACCATTAATTTAACTTCCTGTTTGGATAACATATGTTTATGATCTTTTTTTACTTGTATTCTTGTCGACAGTGTATATTTACTAGATTAATTACTGTGTTGCACTTTATATTTACATGCCGCCATTTTAACTAGAGTATCAGAATTATTCTTCTTATATGCAATGCCCCCATACGTTTCTGAAATGGAACAAAAACTGTATTGCCCGCTGTATATATAATACTTTCTGCTACCAATCCCACATTTTATATTCCATTCACCTACAGCTGGCGGATACCAATACCTGGGCTTTGGGAATCAGCTGATGCTAAGTACCAATCTGACACCAGTGTAAAATTAATAAACTGTATTCCTCGCTGTGAGGACGACACAGGGAATCATTATTTTATTTGTAAGTCAACATCAGGCTTGACTTAAACTTTGCTCTCCTAGCAAAAGGTTCGGGTCTACTGGTTCACTGCTGACGCATCACATAATACGCACATTGGTGCTTCATTGGATGATGGTTCATTACTGCTCACTATGGAGTAAACTACTGCGTGTATTAAATAGGCAGTAGGACGAAGGATTAAATAGAGAAGGACGAAGCAAGGTATAATAGCAAGGTCATCCAAATATAGAGCAAATTTATGTAAATGTTATGCAAATTAATTTGCATTTCCATCCACTATGTTTTCGTCTGCCACTACTTTTCATCTCTTCGGAGACAGGGAAGCTTCATGTACGTAATGATTTATTCACTAAGTCTGTTTCCATTGCACTTTGTTGTATTTAGCCTTTTTCAACAAGCCCACTTTTCAGCCACTTTTCTATTGTGCCACTTGTTGTACCTCTGGCCTGTTCTGAGAAAAGATGCCAATGAACTTGTCTCCTGTGTGAGAGTGTCCTTTGTGAAGAAGAGCAGAACCAATATTCTCCGCTCTGTCTGCCACCTGTGCAAAAGAAAAAAAAAAGTGTATTGTGACTCGGTTAGTTGTGTATTGGGGACAAGGAGAATGATTTCCGTATCTGTGGTCCACGTCTCACCTCTCTATAAGATTGCCACTCGTATGGCTGGTTAGGTTTCCTTGATCCTAGACAAGGTCCATCATCTGCAAAAGAAAAAAAAAGCTCACTTTTCTCTACATTCACTGAAAGAATTGTAACCATAAGTCTTCACAGAGTTTCATATTTAACCGACACAAGAGATACACTCACTTGACACTCTGAGCCCTCGTTGGAACACCTCATACATTGTGCGAGCATCGCTGTAGTAGTGTGTCATTAACTCGTCACCAACGTTCAGTACTGACCTCCTTGCACGTTCTCCACCCTACAAGAAAAAAATTCGTTATTCGTAAAGTTATGACCAGTACTACTGACGAACCTTCCACACCTCAACAACATGACACATTACAACATTTCTCTAATTGTCAGCACGTGAGAATGTGGAGAACATGGATTTATTTTGGGGTACACCTGCACACCTGCAGAATGTGTTGATACTGGGAGACTTACGCATGCTTCTTTCAGCAGCAGGCATGATTAGTACAATGCTGTCTTTTCTGATCTAGAATGACAGCACACACCTCAGTTGTCCTTAAGTCCCTGCATTGGATGACTGTCAGTTTTCAAATAGTTTTTAAGGTCCCTTTATTGATGTACAAATCTCTCCATGGACTAGTGCCTTAATATTTGTCAGACATGTTTTTAATGTATGCTCCCTCTAGATCATTTAGGTCCTCTGGCACTGGGCTTTTGGTTGTTCCCTCGGGCACTAATATTATTACTTTTTCCAGTAACTAGCAGTGTAAGGGATTACTATTACCAAAACAGTAATAATATTACAGGTACTAATCCAAGTAACGCTGTGTTAGTGCGTTATTGAACGCGCCATCCTTAAAGTGAATGTGCGACTGTGTGGCAGGTCAGCGGCACCGGACCTTCTGTTGTTCAGTTAGTCACAGCTGTAAGATATCGCCATTATTGTGTCACAGTCTAAGATGCAAAGAACATTGTAGTCCGTTGTAAACTTTGTGCAACCAGCAACAAACTTTCAATCACAAACAATTCTATATCTCATTTATTGAAGCATCTGCTAAAGCAGCACAGCAATGTGAAACTTGTGCAGCAGTGGAAGTAATATAGTTACGTGATTAGTTACTTTTAATCACCCAGTAATAAGTAAAGTAACAATATTACTTTTTTAGGAGTAATAAGTAACAAGTAACTTATTATAAGGAACTTGCCCAACACTGTCCCTGGGTAAGGACAAAGAACTACAGGGAGGTTGTATTTACTGTCTCACAACACCTTTAAAATAAAACTTCACATACCTTTTTAGCTTAGCATTCCCTTAATCTATCTTAACATTTCATTGTATTATTAAAAACACCTTGTATTGCAATTTTGCACGAAAGGCACTATATAAATAACGTTTGATTTGATTTGTGCGATATTTTGATGACCACACACACATGCATCCTGTATAGCAATGGTTCACAAAAAGGGATCTGGGGACCCCCAGGGGAATCATTTATCTTCGCTATAATTCTATGCATAAGTAACACAATGACTGTAAAATGTTTGACTGTTATGGTCATGGGTTTCACACACTTTCTGTAATAAAACATTTAAAAGCAAAAATCTTATCTGATGTGGGAACTAGAACAAAATCTTATCAAATGAGGGTCCCTGAGCTGATCTAATTTGTGTCAGTTTAGACGTCTTTGGCATGAAAAGGTTTGAAAATCACTGCCGTATAGTAGATGAAGCAGCAGGTGTAGTTTGAGCTGAAATGTGACAGAAAGTAGTGGGACAGAGGAAGCATTAGTTGGTGCAAGTCACGTAAAACCAAAGGTCTTAATTTTCTCCTTCCTCTGTTGCAAACTTTAATTTGTTTTTAAAGATTAACTGTTGCAATTTCAGCTTTTGTGAAGTTTTGTCTACTAACTCGATCTTGATGTTTCAATTTGAGATTCCGTGAAAGAGATATTTGCATCTTTCGTCACCACAGCTACCACTACACCATGACTACCCTGGCCTAACAACACTGCTGGATCTCAAATTTATGCTAAACTTCTTACCATAGTTAATGGTGAATACATTGTTTACTAATACTATCAGAAAATTATAGGAATGAGGAACGGGTTGCCTTTGGCTTTGGCTCTTTATCCTTTCTATTTGGTAACAATACGGATATATCAATGTTGATAAATCATTAATTTAATACTCACAAGATTCTCACTTTCTAGTAAGCCATTAAGTTTGCAGTTACTGTTTATAAGTCATTAATTAAGGTCTCATCAGGTGTGCAGTGGTCAACCATCAGGTAGCTGAAAAGACAAAACAAGCGTCCTGCTGGAGAAGGATAAACTTTTTTTTCACAACCTAGCAACCTAAACGTTATTCTTATTAATGCTTTAAATTAAGCTTTGGTAAATAACTTATTAACTATAAATAAAAGCATTGATTACAACCAATAAATCCTTAAAAAGGGTGCCTTATTAGAAAGTGATGATAAAGAACGATAAAACAAAACCCCAAATATCAATAAAGCCAACTTTAACTAGTCTGAGCTCAACTTTTTAGCACTTGAAATGTGACAAGGAGTGAGGATGTTACAGAACTCCACCAACTTCAGCTGTGATTTAAATTACTGGAGGGGATCCCATTGACATTCCTGCTGAATGAGATCTGTAGTCCAGATTTCTTCTGTATTTCAGTAGTTAAGCTTCAGTTATTTCTCGAGTACACAGCATTACACGACAGTGGATGGACAGATTTATCATTTCTGTCTGTGTTGTAGGATCCCCCATTGCATGAATTCAATCAGGGCATTTGATATTACCAAGAAATCACTTACTGCTATTTCCACTGACTGCAGGCCAAGGTCACAGGGTGGCGGGAGGGCTTTCGGCCGGGTGGCAAACCAGTATGTGGTGATAGCTGCAAAGGCACCCATGCCCATGAGCGCATTGGTTGGCAAGTCGCGAAGGTACTGCCGAAGACCATCCAGCTCGGGAATCCGCAGCTGTCTCAGGACTTCCTGAGCCTGCATGACTGTTTTTCACTGACCCTGCAGGGAAACACAGAGAAAATGATTACATTTGGAATCTTTCAGCCTTAATTCTGCACTTCTGCTGGATGTGTCTCTGACTCAATATAGCGCAGAGATATGTACATTTGTACATACCAATTTACCATCCATTTTGAGTGTAATAATTTTTACTGTAATGTTAAGAAAACCTTTATTTTGTGCCATTTAATTTAATGTTCCTGACATCAAAAGGAAACGGTCTTGCTGAGTACCTTGATACAGTATGATGTTGCATTTCATTTTTTTTATCAATGGGTCTCTTGCTTTAGGCCATTATACATAAACAGGACAGTCCCCTTAAACTGAAGAACAGTGGTTCCATTCAGAGTTGAAGGCAATTTGTCTGTGTCAGTGTATTCACAACTACATGCAATGCTGAATATACCCTATGTAATACAAAATTCTTTTTTCTTTTTAAAAGATTTATTTATTTTAGTTCAGTTTTAGAAAACATAGGAAGAGACAGATGGATCACATGAAATAGAGCTGCGAAAATTAGGTAACTATTCTGATAATCGATTAAGTCATTTTTTAAATAAAAACTACAAACGTTCTTTTGTTTAAGGTTCTCACATGTGTCAATTTCTGTCTTTCCTTATCTTAACGTTATAGTAAATTGAAAATGTATAGGTTTTGGCCTGATGGTCAGACAAAATGAGACATACAAACCAGGTCCATAATGAGAAATGCATTTTGGGGCAACACTATTCAAAAATACTTTAATTTGTTCCTGTTACTATCAAGCAATTGGCAGCAAGCAAACATGATAAAGCACTGGTATTAATACTTATTTCTGGCCCAATTATGTCATAATAACAACAACAGAGACACATACAGTACAAAACCAAAATAAAGGTTCAGTGATAACTCCATAGTGAATCATCCAGTGTTCAGCCTTGTGATTCAGTGATGATCCACCACTTCAGCGTTACTGTATTCGATTATTTGGCTATGGCAATTTTAAGATCTGCCTTCCAGCATTCAGATGTATAAAGTGTTTAATGTTTTACATAACAATGATTAGTTCCATTAGGCCATCCTAATCGCAGAAACCTTACTTTTAAAAGATCTGAACACGATGTCCTTTCACAAAAATACGTCAGAAATGACCACTTCAAATATTTGATCTTGATTTGGATACACACCATTCATTTTTCTTTTTTTCTACTGTCTCATGCTATGTTCACCATTAAATGGGTGACATATAAAAGATAATGAATCATCCAGAGGACAAAATGAAATACTAGTAGTGACGTGTCGTTTAAAAGAACAAGAAAAGTAGGTCGTTGAAAATATACACGGTATTGAATAAGCTTTGTTTGAGCTGTCTTTATGTTTAAAGTCCATAAAACTACAAGATGGAGATTGTTTTTATAGACAAACCTCTAGCATAAAACCAGTAGTACTAGTTTTTGTTCTGCACTTCAATAAATGTATACAAAAGGAAGATGTGGTATCCTATTCAACAGTTGCTTCCACTTGGAAAACAACGACATAGGAAGGAAATATGACTCAGACGGAAGGAAATATGACTCACACAGACTTTCAGATCACAAGCTTCCATGGAGACATAAGTCCACGACCAGAGACAACACTGGACACCCTGCGCTAGACGCTACACTGCTTATGTCTGAAGCGAAGTGAGGATTTCTGGTCTGGATCTGGATGTTTTACACTTATTGGGCTGACACCTGCAAGGTCCTGGATATATGGCAGTTCCACTAAAATTTTAATATAACAGCTGAATGATAGCCGGAACCGCCTGTGCCTTGTAATTACATGTTAATGTAAAATGCTAATTAGTTAAGCCTGTGGCAAGAAAGACCTATTTAAACTCACCAACTAATCTATTTAACCAGCAATTACTTTTCAATTATTACATCCGAGTATGGAAATACATTCATCAAAGTGTAATGTTAAGTTTGTCTTTTTATCTGACTGGGCGGCTTTATCTACATAGGTTTCAACTCAGATGACCTCTAGATTAGTCGGTAAAGAACAAGTGCACAACCACCACAGAGGTAACAATTGACTTCTCACCTACTTCTATTATTAACACAGAGCCCATGACAAATAGGACCAATGCCAACTGGGGAAAAGTATTCTCGAAAAGCTGCTTCTCTTTAATTGACATTTAATGGCAACTTAAGTCAATGTAAATATTTAAGCGAATAATGTGGTGAAAGACCAAAGGAGATTGAAGATAATTACCTTAATGCAAATATCAAAACAAAGAGTAAACTACTGGCAAGAGGCAAGATTAATTAAAGCTGTTCGGTTCTTTTTAAAAATACAATAATCACCCCCCCCCCCCCCCCCCAAAACTCACAATTGCTCCACTGAGTCTTACAGGTGTAACTACTAGCCACCATGAAATACAAGCAAACCGCCACTTCTATGTCAGCGCCATGCAGGACAAATTCAAATGCAGCCAAATGCCTGTTCAAAAAGTTTAGCATTGACTAGTGACAAACGAAGGTATAATGAATCTCTATACTCACAATCCCACAGTGTGTATATGAAGAAAGGTTGCAAATGTGTCCAGAGGCAGAGAGGTATAATTATCTGAAAGGCCCTCTGCTGCAACAGTTGCTATTAGAAGGACACACACTGACCTCTAATAGACCTCTGAGGTTCTCACAACTATGAATAGCAGAAACACGCCCCTTTCAAACAGCAACACAGACGCATGAGGCACTGCTAGCCACTCACTGGAGCGCAACTAAAGTAGCAGGTTGGTTAAAACCCACAGAGTTTTTTTTCCAAACCCATCTACTGTCCTGAGCTTTGTGTCCTTGTGAAAACACAATAAAGTGAATTACAGCTGGCTATCAGGTGTGTGTACAACTAGTGTACAAATTAGGTTAAGCCAGACTGATTCAGAATGAACTAAGAGCTGATCTGAGTGATTCAAGCATTGTTCAGTAGTGTTTATATTAAGACCGAATGACCGATATCTTATCATAGGGTACATTATCTGGACACAGCATGTGCAATTCTTGTGTTGCCGGGCATCTGAACTGATTAAAGTAGTTGAACAAAGAATTACGCACCAATTACAAGATGGTCTGTATATTCTAAATAACAGATATGACAAAATGCCCTATTTTTGTACTGATATCCCAGAGTGTGTGAGCACTAACATTGACTAAACTGATAGACACACACAAAGCGGAGCGTACTGTATGTGCAGATTCCTTGGTGTCTAAGATGGATAAGTCACAATTTCTAGGTAATTAACCACAGTTGAGACAATCTGCACCTTGTTTTACTTCATCTTCAACGGAGACAAATGAAAACTGTGAGTAATATGTGGGAAATTCATATTTGGCACATATTATACATGGATTTAAACATTTCTGCTAAAGTTGTCTGGTACAAAAAAGACTGGGTGAAAAGTAACAAGTGTGAGAGCAGACTAAGCGTAGTCAGCTGTGACCGTAGCAAGCAAAACACACATGGATGTTTGTAGAGTGTAACAGAAACGTGTATTACTATTACAATGCTGAAACGTAGAGGTGGGTCATATGGATAACATCCTATTCTAAATCCCATAATGGTATATGTAATTTTACGTCATGATATCAAATATATATATAGTAAAATAAACAATTTTATGGATACAAAAAACTGAAAGTAATGTCGATGTTTGGTTAACTCAGCAAATTAAATAACTGATAAATCAAAGTATTTCGTCACATTGATGCAAAAATCCACTTTTACTATACAGCAGTCCTCCTCAATGGTTTTTCCTAATACACCCAGAGATATTAAGGGGACTTTAGTATTTTGTTAACAGACTAAATCTTTAATCAAGAGTAATTAATAGATTTAGCAACAATTAAAATATGGTTTATGAGTGTGTCTTTCTGTCAGATGGCCAACAGCAGGCAAATGTCATTGGTGCCCTGCTTGGCTGAGAGTTGTTGTAGGCAAAAGGTACTCCAACACCCCACACACACACACACACACCACCACCACCTCTAGTCTCCATACTTGGCCTGAGAGGATGACAAGCCAATGGCAGAGCCAGCTAGCGGGTCACCCCACACACAAGTCCACACAAGACATTGGAAAAAAGTGGGCAAGAGGGGAGGGAGGGCAGCTGGTTCATTTGACACATAACAGAACATCAGTTGGCAGCAGCTTCAGAGCAGACTACAGCTGTAGTTTTAAAACACTCACCCCAAACCACAGCCAGGAAGTTACAAAAAATACTCCCCAGATGGGTCAGTAACACTTGATTTCCTCATAAAGTGTTCCTCTTCGTGGGACTGTGAAAACCAAAAGCAGCGTGACACCCAAGCAGTTTGTCAGCTTGGGCACTGAGCATCAGGTCAAATGACTTAAGCTCATTATTACAGTCTAATCACATGAGGATTACCACATCGAGCCTTTAAAAAAACAACACTTAATCCCATTTTGACAAGACGGTCGCTTCCAAATCTCAATATATCCCTGTTTACACCTGGGGTGATCTGATCACAAGAGGACAGCTTTAAGTACAGGTGTGAATGCACCCGTTGAGGACGCATTGAGATCCAATCGCTCAGACCATGTGGTGGAGGTGGTCGGGCCCATATACTGCCATATTCTTATAACAGTGTGTACGCGAATACACGTCCTGGGCCACGCTGAAGAACCGCTTACTCAACTGACATCCTCTGCTTAAGCAGAAGCAAAGAAGCCACAACAACACCAACAGGCAAAATGCATGTGCATGTCAATGCCAGGTGTAAACAGACAGAATCAGCCTTCTCACCGCTGCTACATTAATCTGTGTAAATTAGAATATCAAGCACAGCTGAAACAATTAGTGGATTAATCAATACGTGGAGCTGTAGTAAGAGATAGATGACATTTGTTTGGAGGGTGGTACCTTTTTAAGACCTTCTAAAACTAAGAACAAACGTGCAGAAATATAAGGAATGCATTAAATGGTGTTTGCCTGCTATAATGTA